AAGAGCTAAACTTATTTGGAAACCGCACCTGTCTGAGAAAGTCTTGTCTCGGTTTTCTCACATCCGAGCGCTGCTTCAGCCGCGGACGGTGAAGTGTGGCCCGGGGAAAGCCCGGCTGGAAATGTCGGAGGTAAACAAAACAAAATAAAAAGAATGAAAGTCGGATTTATGGATTCAACTCTGGTGAAAGTACATAAATTATTTACTTGTCCCGCACGATGAGAAGGGAGAAGCGCTGCTGGTGGCGAAGGTGCGAATGTTCGGCTGCATGGGGAACATTAACCTCTGCGAGCCTGGTGTCCGTCCATACCATCGGTCCATACCGTATATTATGTCGATGGTCCATACACGTACGATGATCCGCGCCAAGTATACATCTGCGCCCACCAGGTATCCATCCGTGCAATGTGAAAGTCATCATAGTTTACTTAGTATAGGCCCAGATCCCAACCTAACTTTGAGAATAGATTAACGGCGTCATTTTTTTTATCGCGCGATAAGAGGCTGGCTTTGCCGCAGCTCGTTAACGCCGATAACGGCCCACCCCTAATATATATATATATTATCAGTGTTTTATTACTTACTATTTTTATTTAAATAACACATTTTCCTACATATTTATTTTAACTTGTAATAATTATTAGTTTTAACCAGTCTTAATACTTTGTTGTACAATATTTTATAAATGTAATTATATGTTTCTACTTGGTCATCTTTTATCACTGTGTTGTATTTAGATTTTTATTTATCAGGTGTTTATGTTTAATTTGTTTCTTAACTGTTATCTTAGTCTCATTAGTAAACTAGTGTTTCCTCTGTGGGGGCCGGCTGCCCCGGGGGCAGCAGTGGGCTGTGGCGGCCGGGGTGCTTCCCATGTCTACTCTTGCCGCCAATCTTGGTGCCCCCGGTGCAGTTGGCTCCTTTGATGGTGTTTTCGTCTTCTTTGTATATACTACATCTGCACTCAGCCAGCTGCCCTTTCTCTATTACGTGTGTGTGTGTGTGTGTGCGTGCGTGCGGGAGTTTGCATCTGCTTGGGATGGGATTTAGGGTGGGAGGAGGGAGAAACAAACGGGATCTCTTATGTGAATCTGTGTGGGTGGGGTGGGAAACCGACTGCTGTCTGGTTGTTTTTAATATTGTAAAGCGCTTTGAGCTGCATTTGCATGAACAGTGCTTCATAAATAAATTCTGATTGATTGATAAAAGCCCATGTTTCTGAGCATTCACTTTATTTATTAATTTTCATTAATTTATTTGTGTTTATATTTGTAAATGCATATTTAACAGAAATACCTGAAATATTAGCTCTGAATATAACTGGTGTATGTAGAAAAATGTACTGCGTTTTAGCTTTTATTTTCTGACTTAGAACAATAAAAATTACTTTAAAACAACCATGTGTTAACACAAGCAAATTACATAACAACTTATTATTGTGTTGTTGTTCATAGTTCTTTTTTTGTAAATGTTCACTTAAAAAACTTTAATAATTATTTCTGATTATAATCGATCAATCTGAGATTTACACACAGGCTGAACATGAAAATAGACCCCTACACCTATCTCCTTCCTTATGCCCTATAGATTAACATTTATATGTCGCTTTGGATAAAAGCGTCTGCCCAATTAATAAACATAAACATAGCATTTGATAGAAATTAGACATGAAACTGTAGGATTTGAAAAGCCTCTTGTTGGTTTAGTGCCCAGGAAACAGCAGAGAACGACTCGGCTAGTACAAGCTAACCGTTAGCATGAGCAACTCCCCCACACTGTAGAACTCCTTCAGGCTTATGTTATTTGGAGATAAAACATCATTGTTGCAGCAAACAGTCAGTGGTAGAGTTCCCTTGCTATTTTCCAATTGGAGATTTCCAAATACCAGGAAAAGAGACTCCAAATCCTGATTATTTATTGATAAGTTGAAAGAATATCAGAATTTGTATTGCTAAAACTGTTTCAGAAATAAGGACCATCTTTCTGGGCCACAAAATGCCAGTTCTATCTTTTCTTTCCAAAGGGCAACTCTAATAATGTGACATTGTTTTGGTTGTCATAGTTACACAGTACCAATGCACAGGTCTCTGGATCAATGCCTTGATAAATAATGTGTTTACAGCTTGCTTCAAGAATTCTGAAACCAACTGAAGAACAATGATTTCATAAAGACAGGGTTTAAGCAGACTGAGTTAAAGTCAAACAACACCTGTACTTTTACAGATGTGGTCTTAAAGAAGCTATTGATCACTTTGTTGTGAATCTTTCTGAATGACTCTGCGTGGTGAAAAAAAATGTTGCCATAAAAAAAACAGTCACACACTTCAATATTTCTCTGGACTGCTTTTGTCTTTGGTTATGGCACACATTCACTGTGGCGTTGTTTCGACAAGCTTCTGAGATGTCACATGGTTTCCATCCGGTGTTGCATTAAACTTTCACAAAGATCTTGCATTGATGATAGTAGAGTCTGACCACTGCACAAATCCTTCTCCAGCACATCCCGAATATTCTCAATGGGGTTAAGGTCTGGACTCTATGGTGGCAAATCCATGTGTGGAAATGATGTCTCATGGTCCCTGAACCACTCTTTCACTATCTGAGCTTGATGAATCCAGGCATTGACATCTTGGAATATGCCCGTGCCATCAGGGAAGACGGAATAACCTGGTCATTCAGCATTAGAGCCCTGTACTGAAGCCCTAGGCCCTCGGGTCGGGTCGGCCCGACAGCCCGAGGGCCGGGCTTCGGGCCAACGGCTGCGTAATTACCTCGGACATGGGCCGGGCCGGGCACCTTTATTTTTAATCGAATTCATTAAAAAAATTGAATCACTTAAACGCAGCAGTTGAGCCCTGCGCGGGACTGTTTTCTTCATCCCGCTCCTGCCCGCTCCCGCTGAAATTCTTACCATTACCGCCCGCACCCGCAGTGTGCATGTCTACTTCCGCCCGCAACTGCAAAACTCGGAGAAATTATTACCTCACAATAAAAGAGATGTATTGAGTTTGCCTTCTCAACATGTCATTTTATAGGCTAGACCAGGGGTCGGCAACCCGCGGCTCTTCCATCCATCTGATGCGGCTCTCTGTGCTTGTAAAATAATGAATGGATATTTACATAAAATGCTTTATGTTTTACTGAATAAATTTTATATCTGTAAGTCAATTCTATGTAAAGATTGTATGCGTAAACCTGAACAGGCCACACCCAGTCTTACTGTGAGACCAGGTTGACGCGTCACGCTTGTGCGTAATCATATAGGCGCATTCTGAGCTGAAGAGGATGTGGGATTCTGGGCTTCTCCTCAGACGGCTCCTGGATGCGCTGCCACATTGGAGACAGGAACAAGCGCTTTTCAGCCAAAGTTTCATAATCAGGGAACATTTTCTAAGTGACAAGTCTCTCTGAGAGACAGGGTTTGGAAAACACTCGCTTCAGTGGGAGGAACCTCCCACGCATGCACTCTGGTTCTGTGACGCGCTCCAAGCCAATCTCCACAACTTCAGCTCGCTGTGCACATATGCGCTGACAGCGAGCTGCGCTGAGCAGTGTCCAGCTCAGATGTTCAGATAGGAATCTTTTCTTGGGTGATTTAGCTACATCTGCGATGTGCGAAACGAATAAAATGTCAGTTGCATCAGGGTAATTCTTTTTATTCTTTCTCCGTCAAAATAAACGGTCAAATACAGGAACTATCTGGTCAACACAACACAAGCCCTGCTTTTAACTGTTTTGTTTTCTTGTGAAAATTGTTGGAAAGAGATCAAATTTAACTTGATTACCACCAGAGCCTGCGCCGTTATCTCTGTGACGATAAATGAGGGAAAAACAAATTGATCGGATCCTGCACGTCTTTTAACACATTGGTCAGGATTGACGCACTTTGTTTTCATTTAGTTGGTTTAAAAAAAAGTCTGGCTCAGGTCGGGCCAGAGAATCCTGAAAACCTTTTCGGACTGGGTCGGGCTGGGGCTCAACCCCCTCGGGCCGGGCCGGACACGGGCTCAGATTTTAGGCCCGTGCAGGGCTCTATTCAGCATATTCAGGATTCAGCTGACCTCATTCTTGGAGCACATCCTGTTGCTGAATCTAGACTTGACCAACTGCAGCAACCCCAGATCATAGCACTGCCCCCACAGGCTTGTACAGTAGGCACTAGGCACGATGGATATAGGGTTGCAGGGATTAACTGGTTTTACCATTAACCCTCAGCAAAGATGTCTCCAATGCTACCAACAAAAACCAAAAGGACAATAGTGCCATCCACATGGACAAAAGAGAAACTGAACTTAAGCACACAGCAGAAGCAGATCCAGTGATAACAACCATCGGGACTGCTCCATTTCCACCTAGGATGTGGTTGAAGTCTCCTCTGTGGGAATATATCTAAAAGATTCCCACACTTCCTGAGTGGAAATGGAGCAGTCCAGATGGCTGTTGTCACTGGTTCTGTTTCTGCCACGACTGAGAGGCGAACCTGCACAAAACTACATGCCAGCCTGGCATTCTAACCATTCGACTACCAAGTCTGTTATAAATCAATATTCATATAAAGCCTAATTTACGTTTCTCCTTCAGCTCCACAAGAGAGAGATGCACACGCATTGATGGAGATGTTTGCTTTCAGACTACTCATCACCTGGGGAGTGTTGCAAAGCAATTCCTAACCAGGACAACAGGGGGTGAAGCACTTTTCTGGGGCATCCTGACATGTATCGGGAGCAAGATTGCATTTTCTATTGTTTATATTGTGTTTTTTGTAGTTCATAGACTTTAACACAGACACATTTGTCTCCCATTCTCCTCCACCTCTTCATCCGCTTGCCACCTCAAAATCCATGTTTCCTGTCATTTCAGTCCGCGAATAAAATGCTTGCTGCTTATCTTTACTCTTCCAGTCATGACTTAATATTTTCAGGGTTTTTCCCAAGGTATTCTTCAAGCTGCACCATGCCTGCTGTTAGATATCTTTGGCTTTTTTTTTTTTTTTTTTTCAGGGGACAATGGCAGCGCTGTTGACATATTTAAAGGAAACACCATCCTGGCTAATCACAAGCTTGTGCTCTCCGTCTCATTCGATGGATATTTAGAAAAGTGGGGTTGACCCCGTCCGTCCTTGGAAGCCTGTTGGAGAGCCTTCTCAACGACGGATAATGGTTTTGGGTGTCACCGTAACGACATAGACGAAGAAGCATAAATTAGCCTTAACACACATATCCTGTGTTGGCCATTACATGTATCTGTGTAGACAGGATGCATAGTTTTCACTGTGGTGTGCCCAATGCAGAAGTAATTTGTGTAAATATCCACAGAATTTCCATGTTTAAGAACTGAGACCACCAGCTTCAGGGTGAGAAGTGGGCTTGCAGCTGGAGGATTTTCTGGCCAATGCAATCACTAGAAGAAAAGGGTAGGAGGACATTTTTTGTGGGAGGCAAGTGACTCCAAACTGGAACAGATTAAATCAGCAGGTGCGTAGATGAGCCAGCTGGAGGTGCGGCTGAGACTCAGGTGGAGTCCAGTGCAGTGCACACACAAACTAACGTACAGACATGTGCAGACACCTGCAGACACATAGTAACACACAGACACGTGCAGACACGTAGTAACATACAGACACGTGCAGACACGTAGTAACATACAGACACGTGCAGACACGTAGTAACATACAGACAGTAACATACAGACACGTAGTGACATATAGACACTTAATAACAGCGACATGTAGTAACATACAGACACGTAGTAATGTGCAGACACGTAGTAGCGTGCAGACATGTAGTAACATACAGACACGTAGTAACGTACAGACATAGTATCGTACAGACACGTAGTGCAGTGCAGACACGTAGTAACATACAGACACGTAGTAACGTGCAGACACGTAGTAACATGCAGACACGTAGTAACGTACAGACACGTAATATCGTACAGACACATGGTAACATACAGACACATAGTAACATACAGACACGTAGTAGTGTGCAGACACAAAGTAACGTGCAGACACGTAGTAACGTGCAGACATGTAGTACCGTACAGACACGTAGTAATGTACACACGCGTAGTAACATACAGATGCGTAGTAGCGTACAGACACGTATTAACGTGCAGACTCAAAGTAACTTGCAGACACTGAGTAACGTACAGATACGTAGTAATGTGCAGACACGTAGTACCCTGTCAAATAAATATGTTTTAAGCCTAGTCTTAAAAGTAGACAAGGTGTCTGCCGCACGGACAAAAGCTGGGAGCTGGTTCTACAGGAGAGGAGCCTGATAGCTAAAAGATCTGCCTCCCATCCTATTTTTAGATATTCTGGGAACCACCAGTAGACCTGCAGTCTGAGAGCGAAGTGCTCGGTTAGGAACTTATGGAACAATCAGGTCACTGATGTATGATGGAGCTTGATTATTAAGAGCTTTATATGTGAGAAGGAGGATCTTAAAATCTATTCTGAATTTAACAGGTAGCCAATGTAGGGAAGCTAAAACAGGAGAGATATGATCTCTCTTTTTAATTCTCATCAGAACTCTAGCTGACTTTTAACTACATTTTGCGGACTTCCTGATAGTAATGAATGTCTGCAGCAATATTAGTAGACACCATTGTAGATTTAGGTGTTACTCGCTCTTTAATAAATGTGAAGCAACTTATTGCATCAGTTAGGGTGAAATAACTTGTTGCCAGATGAAAAATAATCACTCATGCAGTAATTTTCCAGTAAGAGGCTCATACCCACTGGCCTAGTTAAATCCAGGTGGTGACTTCTTTTGGCCAGGCAGTCTATCTCAGTTTAGTCCCAGAATAAAACATTTGAGGAAGCGTGGGCTTTGTCTCAATTAACCTCTCCAAGACACACTTTATTTTATGTTTGGGAACTCTGGGAAACTTTCAGGCATTTGAACACAGATGTGATTTTTCTTCACATATTTTCATTTTCTAAGCAGTTGACAGGGTTTGGTTTTCATGTTTGAGCAGCTAGTGGTAATATAATTTTACCTGAAAGACAAATGAGACTTTAGCACCAGCTGCAGTATTACATGTTTTATTGTGTAAAATTACTGTAAAGCTCTTAATGTCACACTGTTTCTCCTTAACAATAAAAAAGATCATTGTTCAAAACTGGGGCATTTTTTCTATATTTTTCTTCCTACAATGTTCTCGTTTTCTGTTTGGCAAACACAGAGAGGTAAAATTGGACAGTGTTTCATCATTCTTTGTCAGCCAGTTTTAATTCTGCAAAAACAGCTTTGACATGGCGTAACTGAATATTTTACACATTTTTGGCATTCATACACCTAAATGGCTTCAGATGATTGAGTTTTCTATATTTTCGGCATTTCAGTGAGACACATATTTTTATGCAAGCATTCCAAAAGGGTTCAAATGAAGGCAGCTGGACTTCTTTGGTTTCTTGAAGACATTTCGCTTCTCATCCGAGGAACTTTGTCAGTTCTAACTGGAATATGGAGTAGAGAGGAGGGGTACCCAGAGTAGTTTCAGCTCGTTAAATAACAATAGACAGCTACAGCTTATAAGCTTGACTCTCCCATATTCCAGAAAGGTCTTCAAGAAATCAAAAAGTCCAGCTGCCTTCATTTGAACCCTTTTGGATTACCTTGACCAGAATGACTGAGAACGTTCCCCGGAATATGCAAGTATTCCCCTCCTTTCCCTATTTGTTTCCTAAAGTGTTATAATTTGGGTTCCAGTTGTTGCCAAGTTCATTCAACAGTTAAGCTAATTATGTTTAATTTCTCTGTGTGTGTGTGTGCGTGTGCGTGTGCGTGTGTGTGTGTGTGTGTGTGTGTGTGTGTGTGTGTGTGTGTGTGTGTGTGTGTGTGTGTGTGTGTGTGTGTGTGTGTGTGTGAGTGAGTGAGTGAGTGAGAAATACAGTGACCGTCACTGTATCACGACTGATCATGAGCCCTGGCTACTTGGCCAATGGGATGTCCCTTTGGCTGACTGGTTAGCGCGCGTGACTCTCACCCGGGAGTCTGGGGGTCAAATCCCGCCCGAGCCCTCGTTTATCCACCTTACCACATGTGCATGAACTCTTCTGCAGTTTGTACGACTTTTCATAAATAGAAAGGCCTGTGCAATGGAGCGATTTCTTCTAATGCTTGAGATATTTAACCCCCCAGCATCTATATGTTATCTCGGCTGCACAGCCGCACATAGGAAAGGTGCAGCACCAATTAGTCACATTCTGGCTCATCAGAGCGAGCAGTTTCCACTCTGAAAACTATTGACTGCATCCCCCGCTCATATTAATGAAACTCTGTGTGATGACCCCCTCTCAGCTACTAGCGTGCTAACCCCCTCCTACTTTTTATTTATTTATTGCTTCAGCAGTTACTACAGTCTGCTTTGTCTCTGGTTTGGTTTCTGCTTTAATCATGTTAGAATTATCTGTAATGGATTTTGATTTTGATTAGAAAAAGACTCATTCCTAATGAATGAATAAATAAGCCCGGAACTGTTTTGACAGCCAGAAAGTGGTGGGAAACAAATTGTTTTAACAACATTTACTATAATGTAAAAGACCTTTATTGGTTGAGTACAATTGATAATGAAATAAATCCCTGAGCAGCCCGAAGGAAGTATTTTTTTTTTTTTTTTTTTACTGTTGTTGAAATGTCTTTACTCCCCCATCACTGCCAGACCAGTAATCATACTAAATACTGCTCTCGAAGACTATATGCTTTGGCCTGTTTTCCAGTGAATATAAGTCAGCTAACATTTAGACAGGGTATATAGAAAAAACAGGAAACAGAACAGACGTGCAACAACTGTCAGCTGAAGGCTCGTTGATGATACATTTTCAGCACCAAGAAGCTCTTCCAGGAGAGGACTGAATCCCCGTGATTGGGGGCAAATGTCTATATTCTGAGAAGTGTGTGGAAATGCAAAAGATCACAGTTGTACTCTCAGGCTCACCCGTCCTTATAGATGGAGTACTGTAATTAGATTTGTTTTTTGCACCCCTCACTTCTCCTTCACTCTCCTCGGAGGTTTATTTCCTACATTTGAGATCAACACACAAAGAAAGACGGATGAACACACACAAACACACACTGCCTTTGTTCGCCTCTAAGCCCTGTTTATGTTCAAAATCTAAATAAATAAAATAGAAAAATAAGTGTGCCGCTGAGACATACAATGGAATTCCCAATCATTGCTTGCAGCTGTAGAGTTGTATATACAGCAGGTAATTAGAGGCAATAATAAGCCGTGTGTTTCTTTGCAAAGTCTTACTGTATTTTGCTGTATCTCTCACTCTTTCCCGGTCTCTTTCTGCCAGTTTTTATTATCAGCAAGGGCTCTACTTAGTAGTGAAGACATGTTCATCACCCGCTGAGGATATGGTAAGAGCCAGAAGCGAAACCATTAGCCCGCTGACATCATTAGGTCCATTTTAAGGGAGCTTCAGTCCCCCTAAAATAATCACAAGCCCCCCATCATTTTGGGTTTATTTTATTTTATTTTATTTTATTTTTTTCAGTTAACTTTTTTTATTTGTTCACATCTACATGCTCAACACAATCACAACACGTGTAGTTGGTACAGGAGTTTGTTTATTTTGTCTCAGGGTTTCCCTTACATAGGCGTAGCCGTGGCGGGCCGCCACGACTGAAAACCCACCGCCACGCCTACAAGATCCCAAGTTGTGTTTTTTTTTTTTTTTTTTTTTTTTTTTTTGCGCTGTTTCCCGAAGAAGCAGCGGGGACTACTATGTTGTAGCTTGTGATCACAGCCGGCAGGGCAAGGTGAAGTTACAGCATAAGTTACTGAGTTTAAAATTAGAAAGGTAGCAGTGGATATAATGCTTTTTGGTTTACATGTTTCAGTAGCATTAAGATAAACGAGTGTTGACGATCTTGACAGGCTTTCCTCCCCCCGCCAGGCTAAGCATCCCTTATTCATGTAAAATTTATTTATTTTTTCATGTCTGATTTTAACCGCGTCTAATACTGTATTACGGCGTGAGCGCAATAGCGACAACTTAAGATCGATGTGTGAGCAGCCGGAGAGGTCGGGTGTTTCATTTGAACCCTTAAAACCTCCAGCAGGTTACGCTGCACTGTTGATGTGTTAGCGCGCGGCGCTAACAACTTAGCGATGTGGCATGTCTTGGAGAAAGCGTAAAAACACGTTGGACACTTCGTCTGAAGCGGGAAAATAACAGAGCACGATGTCGCCTCGGCTCGTTTACGGCCGAGCCGGTGTTGGTACAAGATCTGCTCGGGTGCAAGATCGGCTCGGGGTCCGTCGACTGCCAATGATGTCAAAGTAGTTGATTGGCTGAACATAAACCTTACAGAATTACGTAATCATGTTATGTTGTTATCACGTTACGTTTGTCCAGGCAAATCTTTCTGTTGGAAAGATGGACAACTTTTACAAAGAAATCCATCATTACCTCTTTGAAAATGCACTTTTAGCATAGAGCTGCATGTATATTAGGGCTGAACGATTACTGCATGTGCAATTAAATTGCGAGGTGACAAAAGGACATGTTCTAATCGCAAAGGCTGCAATTTGGCAGCGAGTGATTAGCACAATGCTAATATACGTGGAAAAACCCATAGGAATGATAATGCTAATATCACCGATTACATTATTACAAATTATGAATTAGAAACGTGCCAAATGATTGCATTTGGAGTCTAATAGAAAGTCAAACTACCATCAATCAAATAAGTACAGACAGGTATTTTAGTAAAGCCAGAAAACTTTTAACTCCAGAGTTTTGGCTAGCAGCTATGAGCGTAATGGAACTACGCATGGACAAGACGTCAAAAACTAAACCCAAAATACTTCAATAAACGGGACACACTTCTTTCCTGCAAATACAATTTCACAGGTGTTGCTAATACCTATGATCCTTCAAGGGATGTGCTCAAAGAGGAGTTCAACATAATGAATACAATATAGTGTTTTATTTTACAAATACCATTATAAACACAAACTTATGTCTTAAGAAACATTTTAATAACGAAACTGCTAAATTCTTTCTAACAGTATAGATGTGTACTGTATTTTGTCCGAGTGGGTTTGCCGTACTTTGACGTCATCGGCAGTCGAAGGACCCTGAGCCGATCTTGCACCCGAGCAGATCCTGTACCGACACCGGACTGAGCTCGATAACATTGACCCAGCACAGCCACTTGGTCGTTGGAGCTGCCCCGTGACTGCCTGATGGAAAACCAGCGGGTTTCATCAGACTCGTAAAGTTTCTTGTTTTTGCTGGGGACTCCCTGTATTTTACCGCTCCCCCCTGCAGTCTTCCCCTAATAAAATTTAAAACGATTCTGTAAATTCCATGTATCGATAGAAAAAATCTCTGCCTCTGCCAGCTGAAGTAAATGTAGTCTCCAAATAATAAATAAGAGGTGCATTAATCTGTGTATCTCCTTTGATCCGCATTAGTGATATTTTCAGTACCAGAACAGTGAAGCAAAGAAACAGATTCCTGAGTTTGTGAGTGGTTGTATTTATTAGGTGCATCTAACCTGTTCTATTTTTCTCTGAAATGAGATCAAATCAGTGCTTCTATGGGTTGGCTCCACTCTGCACTAGAACATTTTTCTTTATTTAGAGACGTGCAAGTGCACCGTTATGAGCATGTACCTGAGTACAAAGTTCCCAAGCAAAATTGAACAGTTTTCTATTTAGGAGTGAACAGGTAAGAGACCTTGGGAAAAAAATAACTATAATTAACATCTGACCTGCAACCTTATGTCAAGTTGTATCTGTATAGTTGACTTTCTGTTTTAAGTTCTACTACTTGCTGGATATTTTTATATATACTGTTATTTTGTCTTGTAATTGTTAATTACATACTCCTTTATTACATATATCAGTTATTCAGATATTAAAACTGTTAACTGCACACTCATTTGACAGAATAAAAGTTTGACAATTATTCATTTGTTCTTTATTGTCATATTTCTGTAACATTTATAATTAAGCAAGTTGTAATTAAACAAATTAAATAAATGACTACAACATTTCCCCCTGTTAAGTGCAGTAGACTGAAATGTATGGCTTTATTTGGAAATATAACATATCTAATTTTTAATGGACTAATATAAAATCTTTCTTCAACATAGACCCCACTAATGAACTGATTGTCATTTTTTATAAAAAGAAGAGAGAAAATGCACAAAGGTAGGAAAGGAAAAGAAAGTGATAAAATAATAGGTTTCATTAAATGTTCTTCAGGTGATGAATTAATTGACAAAGTTTTTGCAGGGTGTGACAAAAATGTTCAAGGTCAAGCTCCTGGGGCTAAGCCCCCCCCCCCCCCCATCTCTCAATCCTAGTGACATCCATGCATTAGCTCCATTGTTTTTAACAAAAAAAAACTTTTTTTTTTCATTTCCAAACACTGCAACAAATCTACAGAATGATAGCAAAAGAAAATAATTAAGGTGCTGTAATTTTCCGGTCAATTCCACACCTCAACCTAATTTAAAGCTGCAACAGCAAATCTACATAACAAGCTAGCGTTTATATACAAACACGGAACACTCACCGTTTTTCATTTGGTTTCATTCTTGCATTACTTTTTTCTTTTTGATACACCTGAAATTGTAAGTCCTGCTGCTTTCCGGTTGTTGGGATCACCAGTAATGGACAGCTTTTATCGGACAACATTGCAAACCATTTTAGTGAGAATTCATCCTTGCATGGCCTCAATTACAGAAATGCTGCTGGTACAACTTTAACTTATTTTTCTTTGTGTTTTCACAGAAAATACTATTTCAGTTAGGTAAACTTGTGAATCCTTATGCGGCATTCTCAGTATTCACATAATTGTGTTACTGGGGGGACGAGATGGGTATGTTGCATGTTGACTCATATCTGAGTGTGATATTTATTGAGCAGGGATGCAAGATGCCTTGCCACGTTACACCATTAACGTCCCTTTGTCATAAAAATTATTAACAGCTACCATTCAGTTCTGAATTATTTCCGATACCTGCGCCTTGATGAGATCTGTGTGCAGTTCAAGCGCACATTCAGCGCTCACTCCCACACAGCTTTGTCTCACTGATATGTAGATGGATTCTTTGTTTATGGAACCTATTTGGTAAGCTCTGTCAAACAAGAGAAAAGGAGGAAAAATCTAAAACCAATTTTTCTCAAAGGATTTTTTACTCATCGAGGGTTGTTCAGGGTCAAGATGCAAATTTACAATAAGCAAATCCAGACTAAAGGCCCAAAAATCATGGAGATGAAAGTTTAGTTATGGAAATTAAGAAAAGGAAGAATTGCAGATTACAGATTAAAGATAGGTTCATCATTATTGATCCCAAACTGATGTATTTATTTATTATTTATTTTGATGTTTGGATCAGATTAGCATTTATGTGATTTACTTGATAATATTTTTAAACAAAGTTACATATTACGAATGATTTGGTTCTGATGGTTGCAGCATATAAACATAATAATATAACATAAATAATGTGGATATTAGAAGAAGTTCCACTTTCCTTTCTGTGCATTTTTCCAGCAGCCCCAGTCCTGAATTCAATTTGACTCAGGGGGTAATTTTCCTCTGCTTGCATTCAATATGTTTTCATCACACTGACTGCTTACTCTGGATATTTTCTGAGCTCTCTAATACCACACCTCCCCTCCCCTACTCCCACTCTCACCTCCTTCATTTGTCACAGCAAAAGGCCAGTCCTCAAAACGGGAGTTTGTATCGCAAAGAAAAACAGGCACAAAAGATTTGGCACCATCAGGTGAACACGACTTTCACAAAGAGTTAGACGAGACGTGGAGTTATCAGGACGGGCAGTGCGGACCGCAAATCCACTTTGCAAAAAAATGGGAATGTATAGAACACAACAAAGGCTTTCAGAAATACCAACAACTGGTCAAATCACATTTAATGATCCTTATTTTAAAAACACACATACCGAGGCTTTCATCTTAGCTTAGTGGGTGAAGCCAGACCATCTTTGAACAGTTGATATGATCCATTCTTTGTATAGCTGAATGGGTTTACTGTTGTCTGTGGAAGAAGAAGGATTTTATTCATGATGGCTAGCAGTATCATTCTAACAATAACACTGTTAAGTGTTGAGGTGCCTCAAGGCCACCCATATTAATGGTGCAGTGAGGCACTTAGGACAAAACAGACTGTGCTTCTTTGGCTGGAGTGAGGCGAAGTGAAGTTGGATGTAGGGTGTTTTTTCCCAGCAGGGTGCCAGCTGTTGTTGTCCTGGAGCGGTGGCTTGCAGTGTGTCCTCCAGCTCTCAAGTCTTCATTTCAGCAGATAGCAGTTGTTTGCACTTAGGATTTGCCCTGTTCTAGCTTAAGGTGAGCACTGGTCCAGCGTTTTTACAGGAGCGTCTAAATTTCTAGCAAAAGATGTAAGCCCAGTGTGCTTTTGTGGAACTACATCTGAGTGGAAAGCAGCTACCTTGTCTCCGAGGGGGAGGGGTTCTGGGCCTTGCCCTTGTCCTTTAGATAATATGAAGTTTCAACTAATGAAGCGAGAAACCAAGTGTCTAAACAGTTAATGCTGTTAACACCAACAGGAACGTGATGCAGAAAAGAATAACCAGTTTACTCTTCAGCCAGCTCAAGTGTTCATTCCTTTTTGGTTACATGGTTCTTACCATCTGTTGCACAGTCAGATATTTATTGTCTTGTGTTTTGTTGTCAGTAATTAGATGCTTAGAAAGTTTCCGTAATGGTTGTGTGGGGGAGTAGGTGGGATGTGGGGAGAAAAAAAGTCTCAAAAGATGTGTGTGTGTGCGTGCGTGCGTGCGTGCGTGCGTGTGCGTGCGTGCATGCAGAATTAAACAGAGGACGAGTCTGGCAGGCCAGGCTAGCATTTGAATGCTGGGTGGAAGTTGGGGACATTAGAATTTCCTTTGGATTTAGTCTAAATTTGTGTTGATGGGACAAATGTGTTTTTGTAGAAAAATATAGTATCTCAGAATCCTGTAGTAATAAAAGATAGACCTACATTTAACTTTTAATAATCTAAATTACAAATCAAGTTAAAAATCAAGAGTTACACATGCATAGATCTATCTACACACACAGTCTTGTTTGGACATCTTTGTCAGAAGTGTGGCTCCATGTTCATCTGAGTTGCTGAGCTGACAGACAGGATATTAAACATGATTTTTAAAAATGTGCGCCTTCGTTCAATGGTGGAAGATCATCATAATCAATCGAACACTCAAATACTAAAATATGTGACAGCTGCAGCCCTGGTGCAAGATGCATTTGCAATTTTAAAGCCAACACCAAAGCACATAGGCTTTCTTATTCTCACTAAAATGTTTTCTGCTTGTAATTTTGAATACTCTTTCATTGACCACAAGGCTCACTGAAAGGCTGAGAGGCTAAATCCGTGCATACCACTTTTTATGTGCAAGCCACTTAAAGCTTGACTCTACCTCTAGCCATTCACCCATGCACACACCTACTCCTTGAACTTGAAACAAGTAGTAAGTTTAGATGTTTCACCTCAAATCTGAGAAACCTTCCCAAATGGAATCCTCTGAGGTGAAACATCCTATAAGAAAGTCCAGTTTTTGTTTGAGCTTATCAGATTTATTATTATCTCTAGATAAATGAGAACCTTCGTCAGATAAGAAGTGAAGGTTCAATAAGTCATTACACCATTTTTCTGTAAACCTTTCCCACATCGAGATCTCCATAAATGGAGGTGTAAACCCATTTACCAAGCCTATAAGCCTTTGCTTAAAAAATATGTTATTTTATATATTTGTTGCCTGCAAAGCTTTGCTTTTGAATGCTCTACCTTTGACTTCTTCGCTCCATTACAAAAGCAATATGTTTTTATACGTCATTATCTTTTCTCACTTGTTTATCATTTCTTCAAACAGATCATCATTTTGACAGGTTTACTGTAGGAAACCAAAGGAAGAAATGTGGTTTGACTTCTAAAGCCACATGATCACACCTCTTTCAGGTCAAGTCTAAATATGCAATTTTTCAATGCACTTATTCATATCATTTAGTCATTAACATAGTAGTAAAACCTGTTGATAAATTTTATTAATAGATATTAGGGATGCACCAATACCGATACTGGAATCGATATTAATACCAGTATCGGTATCAATACCAGTATCAGTATCAGTGAAAGCTAACCGATACTAGGAACTGATACTAATGCAGTTGCCTGAAAGTGGCTTCACTGTAACTTGTCATTTCTGTTCACCTAATATTTTAGTTTTGTGGTCATTTCTATGAACCCTTTGATGCATGAATTATGAAATCTTCAACCATGATTTTTTTTAACTTTTTTTTTCATTCGTCTTTAGGTGTGAATGAAGCAAATTTCAACAAATGTTTTTGTAACATTTAATAATTTACAAATACTTTATTACATGTCCACCTCAGTGGACAGCGTGCATTCTGAACATGAAATATGTTGGCTTGACTTACTGAAGTCCAAATGGAAGGGCTCAAATGCAATAAAGTCTTCAACAGCTGTGCTTACTAGCAAAAAATAAATAACTATTTTGAGTACCTGTACACTGTAGTGACCATTATGCATCAGAGGGTTAATATATTTTATTTTTTATCTACCTCACAGTCTTTTCCTGTTGATAGCAGAAAGGAAAATAAAGCCTATATTTCTATTCATTGTATTTTTTGTGTGATAGAAGTATCTGTATCAGTAATCGGTATCAACGAGTACTCAGATCCAAGTATCGGTGTGTTATCGGTTTGGAAGTGGTATCGGCGCATCCCTAATAAATATAGTATTAGCTACCACACGCTAACTAATGCTAGTAATGCTAATGTATAATCTCACCTGGCAGTTAACATTAAATGTTTATTAAATCACCAACTCACTGTAAAGTCGCATCAACAAAAGGAAGCTAAATATAATCATCCAGGAAACACCTTTAGCGTTTCTTTCTTGAATGCACACTCAAGTGATTAGGCTCAGAGTGTCACATCTAGTGGTCTGGGTTGAAACCGTCCTCAAACACGTGTTCTTAGTTCCTCTGATAAACATCCAAATGTGCCCTACAGACAGTTCTGAGCTTTTCTAGATCATCACGATACTCTATTCTTACAGGAAATTAAAATTGTGCTATTGCTTACGTCGTCCAAAGTGCACATTTAATGCATTAAGCAAACGATGAGCTGTCTGATCAGAAGTAATTAGAGGAATCTGTTCAAGTGCAGACTGGAAAAAGAGGGACAACTTGTATATTTAGATACGTGTCTAGCTACATCAACCTGCAGTTCCTGTGTAAAATGGCACAGATGCCATGAGTGTGTCACATGCATATGGGGGAAGCTCAGTGACGCTGCGAGTGGGATGTGACGCCATTCTGATGCACTGACATACATGTACATATGCACACTTACCCCCGCGCACCTTTTGGCTACTAATCACCGAGTCCTTTGGAATTTCACACAATGATGTCATAGATTTACACGATAAATAACACATCTTTTCTCAAGATTATTTCAGAATTTGTTCCTTTTTCTTTAGCATAGCTTTCGAACCATCTTCCCACTTCCTGCCCCCTCCCAAGTGAGGAAAAAGACTTCGCTAGCATGGATTCTGTGGGAACATTTCCACCAAATCCTGGGTCTGTCTCTACGATTCATTTTTCTTCTCTCCCACTGTGTTTGAATAAAATCAAAGCTGTGCACGAATGGACCACACCACTGTACACACACACACCTGTGCAAACTTAGTCATACAGGATAATTAGTACATGTGTAGAGGGCATTCATGACCTTTCAGTGCTCATCTGGAAACAGCAGCAAAGACACACGTGTACACATACTTGTGAGGAGCTGTTTCAGGCCCGACTGAAGGCAGTCAGGTGGAGAGAAAGTACAGTTACAATAAAAGCTGCTGTCCCACGCAACACCAAAGCACAAAAACAGATTGATGAAATGTTGGTCCATAATGTGATGGACGCAGCCTGGACTGAAAGTCACAGATGACTGGATGCATTTAATGGTATACCAGAGCTTAAATGGCATTTATTTCCATCCAGCCATACACACATACTCAAGCTTAAATTAACAATTTCCATCTGTGGCAGATTAATAATTTAATGGTCCACCGTGTGCAACCGCTGCCCTCTAAGTATTAATATAAATTTAGGTCACATTTGTATTCTGATGCAGTTTGAGTCAGAGCGATTTCATGATGCCGGCAGTGAAGAGTATCTGCATTAAGAGCTTCCTTGTCTTTGTTCTGCAAATTCTGGGACACACTACTGTCTTTTCCATGTGCATGCTGTAATTATCCTATTCTGTTACTGTTTGTTGTTATTATTTTTACTTTCCTCACTTGAGAGGAGGCAACAAGCAGACTACCTCCATAAAAACACTGGCGGTTAAGAACTAGAGCAGCTCATATTGACTGAAACTACCTTCACCTGCATGATGGGATGCTTGACAACACAGTCACAAGCATACATCACAATGCATGCTCTTACCTTCCCTTAACCTAATTCTGTCCTGATTGAAAAGCACCATACTCATCTGAGCTCTAAACTTTTCCACAAATGCAAATTCTAACCTTGTTTTGTCCATTTTGTCAAAGTGAATATCAGATCAAATTGGCAGCATCTTGTTTTTAGATTAAATTTGTTCTAGCCTAAAGAGAAAAACAAATGCAGGAAAAAAAACTCATTTTGTTCCTCTCATTCAAAGTGAGACCTATTTGACAAGCCATTATTTGATTTTAAGTGTGTCATTTCAGCAGAACTTCACATTATGCCCCCCCCCCCCCCCCAACCCCCCCCCCCCCACCCCCCCGCAGGGTCGAGACATACTTTGCTTTTAGAAGTTGTTTGTAATTGAAATTCCACTGAATGTGCTGGCTATCTAATGATAAAGTTCCCTGTTTGTTTTCTTTGTATGTTTCTTTATATTTTTCCTGTTTTAACTCTGCTTATATTTTCTAAGGGCCTCATTTATTAAACTTTGCATACAATCCTTATCCGGCTTAAAAATCTCA